AGAGTACAGGTAGGTGGGCAGTCGGTGTACAGGTGGATAGGCTGGGAGAGTACAGGTAGGTGGCAGTCGGTGTACAAGTGGATAGACTGGGAGAGTACCGGTAGGTGGCAGTCAGTGTACAGGTGGATAGGCTGGGAGAGTACAGGTAGGTGACAGTCGGTGTACAGGTCGATAGGCTGGGAGAGTACAGGTAGGTGGCAGTCGGTGTACAGGTGGATAGGCTGGGAGAGTACAGGTAGGTGGCAGTCGGTGTACAGGTGGATAGATTGGGAGAGTACCGGTAGGTGACAGTCGGTGTACAGGTGGATAGGCTGGGAGAGTACAGGTAGGTGGCAGTCGGTGTACAGGTGGATAGGCTGGGAGAGTACAGGTAGGTGGCAGTCGGTGTACAGGTGAATAGGCTGGGAGAGTACCGGTAGGTGGCAGTCGGTGTACAGGTCGATAGGCTGGGAGAGTACCGGTAGGTGGCAGTCGGTGTACAGGTGAATAGGCTGGGAGGTTGACTCTAACTGATATCTAGATGGCGTTTCAAGCTGCAAGAGGTAAAAACACAAGAATAGATCCTTTTGCTAAACTCCCAATCCACAGAAATTACTTACACAAAAGGAAACACAATGCTTTATATAATCTCGAAATGTTTATTAAACGTCTCACAGTTTTATATTGGTTTTGTTTATTAATAGTAAAGGAGCACTCCGAATGCACACTTTGTATGAAGGGGAGAACTTGCAGCTATTGCAAGCCTGGATATCATGGACCATCACAGAACACATTCCAAGTATCTAAATGTCTGCTAAACTGTAAAATTGTGTTATTCCTTTCTTTATCGACTGTTCCTTTAAGTGCAGTTCAATGAACTACAGCTGTCAGTTATCTCACCATTACAATGATTGCTTTAAACGTTGAGTCATGGTTTACGTGTTAGGAATAGAAATCCTTGAAGATAATTCACTGAACCTCACACACCCTCTGTAACATCACAGGTTCAAGGTGCAATAGTGACAGTGTGTATGGAGTGTTCACATTCTCATTGTGAATGGGCAGATCCCCAGTGTGAATGGGCAGATTCTCAGCGTGAATGGGTAGATTCTCAGCGTCAATGGGCAGATTCTCAGAGTGAATGGGCAGATTCTCTGAGTGAATGGGCAGATTCTCAGTGTGAATGGGCAGATTCTCAAAGTGAATGGGCAGATTCTCAGAGTAAATGGGCAGATTCTCAGCGTGAATGGGCAGATTCTCAGCGTGAATGGGTAGATTCTCATGGTAAATGGGCAGATACTCAGCGTGAATGGGCAGATTCTCAGTGTGAATGGGTAGATTCTCAGCGTGAATGGGTAGATTCTCAGAGTAAATGGGTAGATTCTCAGCGTGAATGGGTAGATTCTCAGAGTAAATGGGTAGATTCTCAGCGTGAATGGGTAGATTCTCATGGTAAATGGGCAGATACTCAGCGTGAATGGGTAGATTCTCAGCGTGAATGGGTAGATTCTCAGCGTGAATGGGTAGATTCTCAGAGTAAATGGGTAGATTCTCAGCGTGAATGGGTAGATTCTCAGAGTAAATGGGTAGATTCTCAGCGTGAATGGGTAGATTCTCATGGTAAATGGGCAGATACTCAGCGTGAATGGGTAGATTCTCAGCGTGAATGGGTAGATTCTCAGCGTGAATGGGCAGATTCTCAGAGTGAATGGGCAGATTCTCAGTGTGAATGGGCAGATTCTCAGAGTGAATGGGCAGATTCTCAGGTATATTTTCTGAGTCTTGGGACGAAAAGAGAAATTGCGAGTTAAACTGGCCAGTTATTAGAAATTGGCAGATTTTTTAAAACGCAGATGGAAAATAAATCTATGTCATTGGTATTTTATAAAATAAAAGTGGAGCGTTTATCATGAAACCACAATTCCTACGCTGTGCTCACACCGCCATTCTAGGTGAAGAAATACTTCGGGAAACTTTAAGAAAACACTGGAAGAATTTGTCATTTAGCCAGAAACCTAAATGCAATGTACCTGCTGCTCAAAGAGTTAAAACCCATGTAAAACACACATTAGAAATTCACACACAGGATCGATAAGGACAGTTGTGATGGCGAGTGATATCTTCGCCGAGGGCCGGATTCAGCGCATACAGTTTAGGCACATCATGCGTGTATCATAGTTTGTCAAATGACCGAGAATGACACCGGGTGACATAACACAAGCTGTTGTTCACTCTATTATTTATTTATTTATAAAATATTTTACCAGGAAAGATACATTGAGATTTCTCTTGTTTTCAAGTATGTCCTGGGTCCACAAATCATTGCATTGTTACATTAGGTACAACAAAATACAAAAACAATATTAATACACAATAAATACAAAATGTAACATAGAACAGGTAGGAAATATATAATCACCCATGACAGGTGCATTCTGTTTTGAGGTATGTAGAGAGGGATCTCTTAAAGGACTTTAGGTTTAGGGAAGATTTTAAATTGTGCGGGAGGTCGTTCCACAATTGCGGTGCTCTGTAGGAGAAGGAGGATCGGGCCGCTTTCTTTTTGTATTGAGGTAGACTAAATAAAGTGCTGGTCCTGGATCGGAGGTTATAGGAGGTGGGAACAGCCGAGGAGACCATTTTGCTCAGGTAGAGTAGGAGTTTCTCAGAAAACACAAGGCTGGAAAGATGAAGGGTGCATCTGGATTCCACCGACAGCCAGTTAAGTTCTTTTAGCATGTCACAATGGTGAGTCCTGTAATTACATTGTTGCACAAATCGGCAGAACGAGTTATACAATGTATTGAGTTTATTAATGTGGGATTGCGGTGCAGATGCATATACTACATCCCCATAATCAATGATTGGCATCAGCATTTGCAGTACAATCTTTTCCTTTACTGTAGGGCTTAGGTAGGATTTGTTTCTGTACAGGGCACCTAGTTTTGGATAAAGTTTAGATGCAAGTTTTTCTATGTGCAGGCCAAAAGATAGATTGGGGTCTAACATCATACCCAAGTATTTGAAAGAGTGGACTGCGGTCAGTGTGCTATTTGAATTTGTTTTGATGGATAGGTGGGAATTGTGTAATTTGTGTAATTTAGGTACTGTTCCAAAGATCATTGTGACAGTTTTGTCAGTGTTCAGGAAGAGTTTGTTTTTTGCGACCCACTTTTCTACCTCTGTAAACTGGTCTTGGAGCACAGCCTCAAGCTGCGGTAGATTGGATTTGCTTGTATAGATTACTGTGTCGTCTGCATACATGTGTACATTTGAGGATATGCAGACATTAGGCAGATCATTTATAAATAATGTGAATAGCAGGGGGCTGAGAATGGAACCTTGGGGAACACCACACGTGACTGGGAGAGGAAGGGAGTCTCTATCAGAAATGGACACATTGTGCATATTGTCAGGGCTGCCATCAGGGGGTGACAACCGCAAGGCGCTGATGAAATGTTGTTCATAGTGCCACCAACCCAGGCCACCATAAGTATGACATGCATTCCAAGTGATGTCCTGGTAGCAAAACAGCGCCAAGCCGCGCAGCCCTATCCCCAACCACGCTCTCCAAAATAGCGAACCCCAAACCCAAATCGCCAACGTCTTAGGAATTTCCTATAACGGAACTTTACATCATCGCCGCCCGAGTCCTACCCCCCTTTCTGCCCCAAGGGAAGAACATCCCCCCCAAGGGCCAAAGGGGAATATCTTACACGACTGGGCAGGGGAAGAGGCCCAACTCCCCTCCAATTGCCATGCTGAGGACCGAGCGCACTGCCCCCCACCCACCGATGGACACACCGTTGCGCCAGGAGGGTACTACACTAAGCGCGACTGACCGTTACTCTTTGATTTTTTTATTATTTTTTTTGTGTGTGGTTAGGTTGTAGAAAATTATTATTATAATTTTTTTTTTTTTTTTTTAAATAAACCCAACATGAACCCGCCTAGCGCAGGTGCCCCAGCCAGCGCAGGAAAACATTACTCACCTGACGGCACCCCAGGAACTGCTGGCAGCACCATAGAAAAGACAGCAGCTTGAAAAAAGGAATCCATCACCCGCAGCGCTGTTCCCATGGCAACTGGAGCTTCAGACGCCACCTGCTGGACGGATCCGGCAACTGCACCCAAAGTCTGAAGCAGCAGTGGAGAGAGGAAGTGCCAACGCT